CTACTGCACAATATTCCACATGTATTTGTGAGATGATTTTTGTTGTTTAAATGCTGCATATTTTAGACCCTTGTTCTGCACTGGTTTAGAAGGACTAACTATGTTTGCAGCGAAAATAAAAATAGGAAGCATTGACATTTAGAAGCGAAAACATACAATTATGTTAAAGCCTCAGAGCTTTAACTGTTTCCATTCATATTCTGTGGTCGCTCATTTTGTATACTATCAGCAACTCATGTAATTTGTATTTACAATGGTGGACACACTGTCCTGGAGGCTATGATATTTCAATCTTAAATCTCCTAAAGTATGTTTGTACTCTATTCTATTTATTGCCTCTCTATCCTGCCAGTTCAGGTCTGCTCCTCATCTGTTGTTCCATTCATTCCACCAACAGTAATAATAATAATATTATATAATCTTTGGATTTGATATAGCGCCTTGTCACATCTTCGAGACATCTCAAAGTGCTTCACAGAATATACTGTAAAGTGAATTGATTGTATATCTTGTGGGCGAAACAGAAGACAAGCATTCAGCTCCAAGCAATCTTAGCCCTGCGCTCAGGAACTCTACCCAGATCCTTCTGACTCATCTGTAGGCAGGGATTCTTCCCACTCAGTTCTTGCAAGCCAAAGCCCTAATAGGTAGGGTGGTCATAGCTGTGCACTAATGATTTCTCCTCTAGCCCTCACACTGTCACGTGTGGCGTCCCTCAGAGCTCTGGCCTTGGTCCCCTCCTCTTCAATATATACACACTCCTGCTCGGTGATGTCATTTGCAGGTATGGGGCCAATTTCCACATGTATGCGGATGAAACCCAACTCTATCTCGCCGCCTCCACACTCAACTCCAGGATCCCTGGCTAGTTGTCTGTCAGACGTCAAGTCCAGGACGAGAGCCAACTTCCTCCAGCTTGGCTCCTATCAGCGCCTCCTCACTGACAGTATCGCTATTCACAGTAGCACTCTACACCTCACTAAGCCAATATGGAACCTGGGTGTCCTGTTTGACTCTCAGCTACCCTTCAAACTCCACATTCATGCCGTGACCCTTTCCACCTTTTCCCACCTCCGCAACATTGCCCGCCTCCACCACTGCCTCTCACCGCAGGTCACCGAGGCCCTTATCCACACTTTCATCACATCCCAGCTTGACTATACCAACTCCCCAACTCGCTGGACTTCCTAACTCTTCCCTCCACAAGCTGCAGATTATTCAGAACTCTGTAGCTCGTGTCCTCTCCCGCACCAGGCTCCGTGAACCAATCACCCACAACCTTCTGATTGAGAGTTGACAGTGCTGCCAATTGAGCCCGGCTGACACCTAGTCCGAATCACTGTCATATTGACCTCTTTGGAATCATAGTGCTTCATCAGGTGGTGACACCCCTGCATTGCATTACAAACCTCTGGAATTCAGGTTTCCCATGCCTCCCTTAGTTTAAATAATAATAACAATATTCCTTGCATTTGATATAGCACCTTATCACGTCTTCGAGACGTCTGAAAGCACTTCACAGAATATACTGTAAAATGAATTGACTGTATATTTTGTGGGTGAAACACCACAGTGAATTACACACAGCAGTGTCCTACAAACAGTCGTGAATTGAGTGACCAAATTTAATATTTTATTTTTATTGTTGTTTTAGCAACAACAAGATTACATTTACACAGTGCCTTTTACGTCGGGAGGACGTCCCAAGGCACTGAGATTATTTTAAAGGGATTATTACCTCTGGAAAAGCGATCCGCCACTCAACTATCAACAGGGTTCCTACTTCCTGCTAGGTAAACAGAGGCGTATGGAATACACACTCTCGCGTAAAGGGTGCTATGTAAATCCAAGTTGTTGTAGATGAGTAAGGAAACTTACCCAATGCTTTATCTTCCCTGGAATCGAACCCAGGTCCTCACGTTTGCGAGGCAAATGCTCTAACTATTGAGCTATGGGACTCCACATACAGAGTACATTGACATAAATAAATGGTAGTGTTACGACATCAGTGAGTTGCCAATCCCATTGTTGTGTCATCCTTTGCATACAGAGAGGATCTTCCAAGACTGACTAGCAAGGCAGTAGTGGCAAACCTTAACTTTGTGTGTACATGACAAGAATCACATCCTCCTCCTCCAAGTGATTATATATTCCACCTCCAGAACTTTCACCGTCAAATACAGTGGAACCCTGTTAGCAGTCATTTGCTAAAGGTGGCGAGGGATTTAATCTTCACCTGAAAACAAATGGACAGGATTTCAGATTAATAGCTTTTTTCAAAAAAATAGCACCTCTGACAATACAGCATTTCCCAATACTTCAGTGTCAGCATGGGCAATGAGCTCATGTCTTCGTGTGAGGCTTGAAACTGTATTGTAAGGCTGAATGTGGGGGAAAGAATTGACCCAAAATTTATGTTAGAAGAGCTCTGTAGTTTTGATCATCAGTACATCTGCACTGCTTTTCACTTTGTATCATTTAACATTTTTCCTTCAGTTCTCCTTACTCTACTTTATTTCAAGGTAAGAATATCGAATATGAAAACGGTCATTCATTCAATTCAATTCACTTTGTCATGTGGATCCTGAGTCAGAACCCAGTGTGACTTTTCCAATCTTGTTCCTGCCTCAGTCGTATCTCCATACACCTTGCTGAATCTGGATTTAATCAGATTTCATTGTGACTGTTCCAGCCAAGGCAATCTATTCTACTTGACAGCTCCAAGTGTGGAAAAGTTATTCCTTAGATAAAGTTTCACTTGTGTCTATTCAGTTTGTAATCTTTTCCACTAGCTGACTTTGCAATAGCCTTCGTTATTTAAAAACAATGAATCACATTTCCCCTCTCACTCTTCTGTTTTTGGGAATGGGATTAACTTCCCTGAATTCATCTTTGTTTTTTCCCTCCACCATTCAATCCTGTCAACTACCTCCACAGAAGTGATTCGGTACTGAAATTCTATTTAGCCTTAACACGAAAGATCATTTTGTCTTAAAATGTAAGATTATGCAAAAATGTGGAAATTTTTTAATTTGAATGGCTGTAAAATAAAGAACCAGCCTCCAAATCAAGATAGAATTTAACAATTTTGTGTGCAGCCTTAATTTTTCAGACAAATTTTGTGCCAGCCCTCTGTGGCAGTCTAGGTAATCTGGATTCTGAGGCCTTGGGTCCGCAGTATTCCAGGGCACTGCTGATGACAGTACAGCCAACCTGGCTCACTGGCAGGACTTGGAAGGGCAGACCAAACACTGGGGCAGGGAATCATCCCACTTAGCTCCTGTTAACCCTGCAAGCCAAAGCCCTAATGGGTAGGGTGGCCCTCGCTCAACAAGCAGCAGGAAAGCTTGGCAGACAGTGATATCAATGGCAAGCTATGTGATTTAGCTGTTTAAGTCCAGGAACTTAAATAGGGAATCTGGCCCACGGCAGGCAAAAGGTTGGACCACCCTGACTTAGGCTGTGCCTTTACCACCAGCCCAGCGAACAAGGCCTCCCACTGGCTTTCACACAATTGAGCCTGACCTAACTAAATGTACTTCCTCTAGTTTTCTTGAACCTATATGAGGCTAATACACCCTGATGCCCAAAATTTCTAATTATTTTAGCCTTAAAACCATTCTTTTAAAATATAGGATTAAACAAAAATGTAGAATATTCTTATAATCTGTATTAATTTGGAACCAACTCCAAAATTAAGACTGAATTAAAGAACATGTTATATTTTAGCACATTGGACTGAAGTCTAACAGCATGAGACATTTTAGGCCTCTGTTTTTATTTTTAATATTGGATTTGAGAATTTTCGAAGTCAGCATATTTTAGACGTTGGATGGCCTGTACTTTGTCTTTGGAAAGCTGAACCAATTGAAGAAATCCAAGTTTGTAACAAATTAAATCTGACTGGTCAGATATCAGGCAGTGATCCTTTGGGAAACAAAACTATTTGGAATTTGAAATGCATATTATAGCATAACGATTTACAAATTTGACAACAAAATGTTCAAATATTTCCAAGGGCAGTCTCCTCCTGTAACAGATAAATTCATGGTCCGGGTCATTAGATGTCAGCTTGACTCAGTTGGTAGCACTCTTAGATAATAATAATAAGGTAATGGGTTCAAATCCCATGTTGGGACTTTGAACTCATAGTCAAGCTTAACACTCCAATGCAGTGATGGGGAGAGCACTGCACTGTAGATGCTGTTCTTCAGATGCAACGTTCATAGAATCATAGAATTATACACCACGGAAGGAGGCCATTCGGCCTATTGTGTCGGTACCGGCTCTTTAAAAAGAGCTATCCAAATCAATTCCACTCCTCTGCTCTCTCCCCACGACCCTGCAAACATTAAACTGAGGGCCTATCTGTCTGTTCAGGTGGCAGTAATGAACCCATGCCAGTAATAATAATAATAATAATAATCCTTGCATTTGATATAGCGCTTTTCACGTCGGGAGGACATCCCAAAGCGCTTCACAGAACACACTGTAATGTGAATTGACTGTATATTTGTGGGCGAACGCAGCAGCCAATTGCGCACAGCAATGTCCCACGTTTAAACAGTCGTGGATTAAAAATGACTAATTTATTATTGTTTTTTTTGGGGGAGGGATTATTATTAGGCGTGTGGAGTAAGGAAACTTGCCCAAGGTTTCGCCCTGCCGGGAATCGAACCCAGGTCTCTCGCTTGCAAAGCGAGTGCTCTAACCACTGAGCTACAGGACTGAGCTACAGTATTCGAAAAGAGAAGGGATTTTCCAGCAGACAATCCCCTAGATAAAAAATGGCCATTCTTTTCATAGCTATTTGTTGGGACTTTGCTGAGTGTGAACTGATTGCCATGTTGATCTATAAAATACATTCACTATATTTCACAGTAAATCAAAGTGAAGCGCTTCGAAACATCAAAGCAATGTAATAAGGCGTTAAAGCAAATGCAAGGATTATTGTTATCAACGGTTTAAAAAAGATTTTTCGTATCTGTTTTTCTTTGCAGACAACAGTCAGCTGAAGATCGTGCACTCATACCAGCGAATTCCACCAGCAACCTCATCAACAGGTTACTCATCTCGTATGACCCAAGAATACGGCCAAATTTCAAAGGTTTGTGTTACAAGAGCAACAATAATAGACATCCTAAGCCACCTCAGGCAAACTGTCTTGAGAGAAGCATGTTTATGAGAGGATGTTTTACATGGCTTCTTTATTTGTGAGTAGGTAATGGCATAGAAGGGTCCTGGTATTTCTGACAGTATTTGCTTGAGAAGAAATCTGGAGACAGTACTCTATGGTTGTAAGTGCGTTTGGGAGGAAAAGAAAACAACAACAACAAAATTACATTTGTATAGTGCCTTTCACGTTGGGAGGACGCCCCAAGGCACTGGACAGACAAGAGTTACGGACCCAAGCTGAGGGTTGGAGTGGGGGAGAGGGAAGGGCAGGGTGGGAAACAGGGAGACCGAAGACACCGTCAAAGAGGTGGGTCTTGAGATGGGTCTTGAAGGTGGCGAGGAAGGGGGCGAGACGGAGGGTCTGCGGGATGGTGTTTCAGAGGGTGGGTGCAGAGTGGCAGAAGGCCCGCCCACCGATAGTGGGGTGAGCAAGGCGGGGGGCATAAAACAGGCCGGAGCCCGCTGAGCGGAGGGAGCGAGCAGGGTGGTAGGGGCTTAGGAGGTCGGAGAGGTCGGGGGGAAGCAAGACAGTGGAGGGTTTTGAAGGTGAGGCCCAGGATCTTGAACTGTATCCTCTGTGTGATGGGAAGCCAGTGGAGTTGGGCAAGGATGGGGGTGATAGAGTCATGGAGCCTAGTGCAGGAGAGGACATGGGCTGCAGAGTTCTGGATGATCTGCAGCCTATTGAGGGAGGAGTTGGGGAGGCCAACAAGCAGTGAGTTTGGATAGTCGAGCCTCGATGTCATGAAGGCGTGTATGAGGGTTTCGGCGGCCTGGGTGTGAGACAGTGTCGGAGCTGGGTGACGTTGCGGAGCTGGGGGAAGGCAGAGAGGGTCATGGTGCAGATGTGGGGTAGAAAGGATAGTTGAAGGTCAAACATGACCCCAAGGCTGGGACTGGCTTAGCAAGATGGAGTGTGCAACCATGGAAGAACAGATGAGCAGGAGAGCCTCGGTCTTGTTGACATTCAACTGAAGAACGTTAGCCCTTATCCAGGACTTGATGTCTGTCAGACATTCTGTCAGTAGAGCAGTGGTCCTGGAGTCAAGGGTGAAGGCAGAGAGGTAGAGTTGGGTGACATCTGCATACATGTGGAAGTTGAACCCATGTCTGTGGATGATGTCACCAAGTGGGAACATATAGATGTTGAAGAGGAGGGCACCAAGGACAGAGAAAAGAAAAATGTTACCTTGGTCTGGATGTACTCTTATTTATGTAGCCTTTTAGACCTTACAGAATTTGGCTAATTCTTAAATACGACTAGTTGAAGACGTTTTTCTTAAGNTTTTTTTAACAAATGCAGAGAAACCGATTTCAAAATGAATACTGAATTCAACAATTTGCCAAATTCTACATGTTCTGAAATGCTACATTCATGGAGCAAATCTAGTGAATATGTACTGCATGATCCACAATACAAATTTCTTCTTGGTCTGTTAGTATGGTTCATAAATCATTCTAGAATATGGGAGGTGGATCTTAGAATCAGTAAATGGCTCACATGCACATAAGACATGGATCCTGACTGGAATTCCATGTTGTCAATCTTTATTTACATGAGTAACACCTTCCATATGGAACTCACAGAAGCCAATGTCATAAGGCATTTCTGACGGGCTTAAAACATTTTTTTTTTAAAAAATACATTCCTTGTGCTCAATCATTTATTGTTCTGTTTCTAACACTTGTTACCTGCCTTTTGTCTTTTTTTAACAAAAAGAAATCCTGGGGATAAATTCAATTCAATAGGTTTACAAATTCTAGATGCTACTTGTTAGACTGGGAAAGTAAAGTAAATTGTTTGACTTCAATGCTTTGTGTGAAAGATTAATTTATTTTCCGAATTTTGGGACTACTTCAGAGTTAGACTGAATTATTTAAGTCAATTGATCAGACAAGGATACAATCCAAAATAATACTTTTCCAAAATCCTTCAAAGCATTGCATTTATTGCTGTATCATTGCATTTGATATAGAGTCTTATCATTCCAGAACATCTCAAAGCACTTCAGTTGTGTTAAGTGAGGTGACTCTGTATTTGCAGGTGAAGTAAGAGATTTGTTGCAAAGTGTTTTGATCCAAAAATGGCTTTTCAGAAGAAAACAGCGGTGATTGGAGCTTGCCCTTCAGATGAAACATAAAACCAAGGTCACATCTGTTCTGTTAACTCATGTACAGTTTTAGGTCCCATGTCATCATTTAGCAGAAGAGCAGACCATTTTTCAGGTGTCCTGGCCAATATTCTTCTCATGCCTGATTTCACCAAAACACAAATAGTTTTAAAATGAGTTCATTCACCTCATTGCTGTTTGTGGGACATTTCTACTGCAGGTTAGTCATTGTATGACAACGGTCACAGCATTTGACAACAATTCGTTGTGTGAAGAAAGTCTTTGACACTTTTGGACACTATAAAGCAGTGATTCAAATGTAATTATTATTACTTGTCTCTACAGGCTTATGAGAAAAAAAATCACAATCCTTTGCAATTGTTTCAGTCCTGTCTTTGAAAATGCACGTTAGATATAAAATGTGGTGCATGTTTGACATGTAACAAAATGCTCCTGGCAAAATAACTTGGAATATCACACATCTATTTTATTCTCTTTTTTAACATGCATTGTAGGATGTTGGTTCTAAGAATGCACTGATACCACAGTGAGCTTGGGCTGTTGTTCCCAGGCAGCCCATCAGCTACACTGCAGAGGTTTTCGACTCTTCAGATGAAGACCTATATATGAACTGTAAACTCAGCTGGCAGCTGGACATCAGGTTTCCCTGAGGAAGCTAGTACGAGAGAGGAATATCTGGAAGGGATTCCTTCCTGGACAGCTCAGTGAGCATTTCCCAACCGGTTAATAAGGAGTGATTCCCACAGGATTTGTAGAGATCTTGCCATTGTTCTACCTTTCCAAATAAGGAAACTACAGTAGAATGATTTCAGGGAATGGTCTTTCAGAAACTATGCACAAATATGGTAATATTAAAAGTAAGACATTTTTTATAAAAATATGAGGTAATTGGATTTGAGGTAATTCTCTTCTCATGAAAGGCAGAACTCTCATTATGTACTCGGATGCGAGAGGGGTGTGATTTATTCTGTAGGCTCAGTTTTAATTTTAACTCTTTAAACACACTGTGCAGTACAAACTAGTATGTAATGGTAAATTAATGATAATCCTCATTTTTATTTTCAATGGACTGTAACAATCAGTTTCCCTGACTGCATCAATATGACTGGTGCCGATGAAATGATAAATTATAATTTATGACAGTCACTGTTCAAAACAACATCAAATGACATTTGTATAGCCCCTTTCACATCGGGAGGACATCCCAAGCTGCTGGTTAATGGGTACCACTGGCTTAGTGTGAGGGGTCGGAGTTAATCTGACTGGGCAATGAAATATGGGGAGAAACAATACACACATATACAATGCATGCAGACAGACATGGACAAGTAATAAAAAGATGTATGCAAAATACAATTTAAAAAACTGTAGCTGTTTGTGGGACATTGCTTCATGTAAATTGGCTGCATCATTTGCTAATAAATATAGTTAAAACAACAACAACCTCCACAACTTAGCTTTATTGTGGAGTCCTGTAGCTCAGTGGTTAGAGCACTTGCCTTGCAAGCGAGACACTTGGGTTGAATTCCAGGCAGGTCAGGGCGAAACCTTGGGCAAGGTTCCTTACTCCACACAGAGCCTAATAATAATCCCTCCAAAACCAAAAACAATAATAAATTGGTCATTTTCAATCCATGACTGTTTGTGGGACATTGCTGTGCGCAATTGGCTGCCGCGTTCACCCACAAGTCAAAGTCAATTCACTTTACAGTGTGTTCTGTGAAGCGCTTTGGGACGTCCTTCCGACATGAAAAGCGCTATATCAAATGCAAGGATTATTATTATTATATCATGTAATAACATGTGCCAAGGTGGTGGGGTTTAACCCTGAGTTAGAAGTTGCTACTCTGTACAGCATTTATCTGTGCAACGCTTTGCGATGTTGCAATGTTACAGGCACTGTATCAAAAGCCAAGGATTATTAATATTTTATGAAACATGATTTGAAATTACTATTAACAGGTCAGTGAGGATGATCTGGAAGTACGTAAATGTCTTTATTAATCAGGACCATCAAGCCAAGCACGATGTATCAAAGGCTTACTATATCAGGGAGTATTAGAACAAAGGGTAACCATTTATTTTTAGGATATAATGATGAGTGAGATCTGAGTTCAGTAAACTCAACACTTATTGTAAAAACTGCAGGTCCTCTTAAATCTCGTGCCATAAACGATTATTATAATAAAGAAATCCGATGGCCTTATGAATTAATCAACAATGAAGCTTGTGTTCTTAAAACAAGTTCAACAGCTCAAAAGTACACAGAGAGAGTTCTTGTATTGCTACCATAGATTCTACATGCATTGATCAAAATGGTGATCATGAATATTTCAGGATGCTTTGAGTCAGGAGAAAGGACTCAACAATGATTCAAGCAGTGAATACTTGTCCTTGATTTCTGTTGCGTGGAACTAAGCCATGCCTTGATTTAAAACCTATCTTAAAAGGAATCTATGGAGGAGAGGAGAGCCCTGACCTATGTGGTCATTGACTGTAAATATAATATTGTATATTCCTTGAATATCAGGAAATCTTCTGCTTATTTTGTAGGTATTCCAGTTGACGTCCATGTAAATATTTTCATTGCCAGTTTCGGCTCAATACAAGAAACCACAATGGTAAGTCCAACGTGATGAGGGAACACCGCAGTGAAAATAAAATGCTCGGGGAGGAGGGGTGGTGGGGGTGTGGGGGCCGGAAAACAACGTATGATATGATACTGGTGATGTCACAAGTTCAGAAAAGTCCTAAAAAATATGTCCCTTAAGCAACATGTTTAGGATTTAACATTCCTCCCTAATGCCTGTAAAGTGACTTCTCCCTCCAGGTCTTTGTACAACTGATTTAAGCTGTGTTTGATTTTAATATAGGAAGAGAATTTTGCTTTCTGTGTTGCTACAAGTGAATATTTTGTTACTTTTAAAATTATGTTTATCTACAATTTGGTGAAATTGCGCAAATTATGTGTTTTCTGCGCCTCAAATCAAGATTTTCCCAATCCTGGATTTTCCCAATTCCCAGATTTTCTGAGTCTCTGCAAATCAAATTGTAAGTCTTTATTAGTGCACTGCTAAATAGTGTTAATCATACTGGGTTGATTTCTCTCTTGTTAGTAAAGTTATCAATCTTGGCAGTAAATCTTATTACTCGCTATTCATTCACCAGCCTGAGGAGCTATGAGATTCTAATGCGATTTTTGAATTGCAGTGCTGATGGCTAAAGTAAGTAAATTTACTGATAAGTGGAAAGTAATAAACACACACCAAGAACAGTAATATTACCAGCAAACAGAGCATACTTTCAGAAGGTCCAATTTCTGTAAGTAATACATTTATTTGTGACAAGCGAATCCTGTAGGTACCTGGATAATCAAAAGGACAACCTAATGGAAGTCGGTTCAGACATTGATCTCAGTTCCCACATTCAAAATTAATAATAATAATAATTTTATTGTCATCGTGAATCATGGAGAATTTTTCTGTTGTCAATGGGGACAGGGTCTTATCATTCACCCATACAGTTACAGACAAAGGAATGTTCCACTGCCGAGGCAGGAGATGCAGCAACAGAGCAGAGCTCCAGTGGGTCACTTTTGACAGTTCTGTGCACGATTTTGCTGGTTGCAAATCGACATTTAGAACTGAGGTCACAAAGCACTTATTCACACAGAGGGTTGTGCTGATGTGGGAGCTCTCTCCCAGAAAGCTGTACAGAGTATTCACAAAGTCCCGTTACCCCCATCTTTTTTTTTCCACAATGCACTTACCAACAACTGAAACGTGGAAGAATGATAATAATTGTATTTAGAAGTACTTAATTGTAATCAGTACAAGTGTTTAACTGTATTTAGATATTCAGAAGATAGGTGTGAGCGGCATCATTTTCATGGCAGGTAATGAACCGTTGTCATGTTGGTTGTGACAACTTCTGTAACACGGATGAAGTGAGGAGGAAGTTACTCGCATCAGACATTGTTACACTTGATTCATCTGCAACAGAAAATAAAAATTCATTATAAGAAAAAAAAGGAGTTTAACCCCATTTTTAATCACTAGACATGTCTAAACAAGAGGTAGGCAGATACGTCGACAGTAGAGATATTAAGGGGTGTGACAATAGGGCTCGATGTTGAATTAAAAAAATCAGTTCAACTCTAATAATTTGGGCAGAATTGGCCCCATTTTCCCCTGTTTTCCTATGTCCCTATGCCAGTATTTCATTGTCAGAATAGAACTTCTCGTGACATTATTCACGGTGCGATTGAAAAATCAGACCCCACCCCCATCCCCCTCCCCAATATCAGATGAATCACTGTGATGATAAAGTAACTCTGCAAGATATTTACTTGAATTTTCGGCCTATTTGGTAGCAAACGGTCATTTAATAAACATTTAAATCATGAAGTCAAAATTAATAAGAGAAGTTTTCAGTCATCTCATTCTGCTATTAGGCCCTGATCACTTGAGAGTGTACGATGGATCATAATTAAGGACAGTCAGGTAGACTGAACCCAGGCTGTGAGCTTGGTTAAAGTGCCTTCCTTCAATTATTTCACGAAAATTACAAGTTCATCATTGTAGTAGTATTTTACTTGTTTTTGAGCATGCTTAAATGTTTTGTAGGTTTTGCTTTTATAAACAATATTCTTTGATGTTGTGGGCTGGGGGGAAGGGGAGATCTAACACAGCTCACGTCTCAGTGACAGCTGTTTAAAATGTTAACTTTTATTAATGCTATCCATATCTCTGCCGTCAGATTTTTGCTTCACATATAACGTGGTGTGACGAGTCAGAAATTCTTGAGAAACCATCTCATACAGAGTGGTCTTTGTTGTAAAAGATCAAAGACGTGATTGGATGCTGTAGTTTTACAAATTATGACCACTTATGAATGGAGTAGCCAGGAACGTTGCATGGGTAGTCATATGGAAAGCTAGTGCTGATGGATTAAGTATGTTTGGATTCAGTAAGGAACCAAACATCTTACTCAGATTAACACGTCATTTTTCAAAAATGAAGGTTTGTGACAAAATAACAAAAAGTTCAGAAATCTTGGGACGAAAAACCTGGATGTAATATTCTGGTTCAGTTTTACATGTCTCCTCTTTGTCAATGTCAGTGCGTAATGGTATCTTCCATTACATTCTCCATCGTCAAAATGTAGCACTGAATGCAATTTTTCACTGTGATGCTTTGTAAGAGATTTAATGATTGGAAAATTTAGTTATGGGATCAATTATTAAACATTGCATTTTTGCACGTATGTGTGAGCATGCCCTTGTCACTCTGCACAATGGTTGAGACCAAGGTCCATTTTCAAAATTGGCCTCACCATTTTATTTTCCCATATTATGGCTCTAATTTTTTTTCCCTGACCCCGAAGCCAGCCTTCAGTGCTGCTTTACAGGCTGTAAATATAATAATATAATAATCCTTGCATTTGAAATTAGCACCTTAGCATCTCTTCGAGACATCTCAAAGCGCTTCACAGAATATACTGTAAAGTGAATTGACTGTATATTTTTTGTGGGTGAAACATGCAGACACTGGTTAAACCAGTGTCTCATGCAAAAGTAGCAAGTTGTCTCAGCTGTAAGCAATCTCTTCTATTAGTCAGAAGGTGGTGAGTTCAAGCCCTAGTCTACATTTGTATTCCAAACACCTAGTTAACCCTAAATAAATCGCCAGTTCAGTGCCAAGTACATGCCACATTTTCGGGAGTACCTTCCTTCGGTTGAGATACTAAACCAAGTTCCTTTATGACTTTTCAGGTCAATATTAGTATCATCTCATGAAACTATTCAAAAAAGGTGTTTCTCCTGGTGTTTTGGCCAACCATCTTCCATTTGACTTCATGGCGCATTGTGGGACCCTGGTTTGCTCAAATTGACTGCCACCTTTACCTACAAATACTCAATTACTGCTCTTGAAAATAAATCCCCTGTGAGGCATTTTAAGGCTTTCCAGCCATATATTCATAGATTCATAGATTCATAGAATGTTACGGCACAGAAGGAGGCCATTCAGCCCATCGAGTCTGTGCCGGCTCTTTGACAGAGCAAGTCACTTTCACTATATCAACTTTCATATATCAAATGCAATAATAATAAAATCCACGATTACTATGAGAAAGGAATGGGGTCCAAAAGAGTCAAAAATACAAAATATTATTAGTTCCTGGAATTCTTTTTTTGCTTACAAATATACTAAATGTAGCTGACACTCCAATGCGGTGCTGTGGGGATGCTGCATTGTTGGAGATGCTGTGCTTCGGATGAAACATCAAATTGAGATTCATCAACCTGGCCAGGTAGATATTAAAGATCGCACGGCATTATTTAAAAAGAGAAGGGAGTTTCTCCTGGTATCCTGGCCAACCAACTAGCCTCTCCTCACCCCCCGAAAAAAATGGTTATTCACTTTCTGTCTGTTAGCTGTCAAATGTGCCTACTAAAAGAATTCACTTTACAGTAATTCCCTTGAAAAGTTTGGAGATGCTATATCAATTGTAAGGATTCTTTATGATAAATTATAAATTCTCATCAAGGAACAGAAATAATTAATCATGGAAATGGAATTGTGTTAAATTCCCTGTGCTTTAATCATGAAATATTTACCTGTCTTCAACTGTTGTGTTGATAGGATTACAGGATTAATATCTTCCTCAGACAGAAGTGGAATGACCCCAGACTCAAGCTGCCGACTGACTTCAAAGGATCAGACACACTGACTGTGGATCCAAAAATGTTCAAATGCTTGTGGAAACCAGATTTGTTTTTTGCAAATGAAAAGAATGCCAACTTTCACGATGTCACACAAGAGAACATCTTGCTTTTCATCTTCCGTTCTGGTGACGTGCTGGTCAGCATGAGGTGAGATAAACTCTGGACCACAAAAAGGGGAATGCCTCTTTTTTAAGACAACGAAAGTATTTGCTCAAAGCTCTTCAACGTTTATAAATGTTAAAAAAAAATTGTTTGATTTTTCCTTCTGTTTCACATTTCAGGCTGTCTGTAACTCTTTCGTGCCCACTCGATTTGACTCTATTTCCCATGGACACACAGCGCTGCAAGATGCAATTGGAAAGCTGTACGTTTCCTAAGGACATACACTGATAGACTGATAAGCAGACAAATAGCCAAATTTAGGTTGTCCGAGATAGATGCAAGAGTTGATTTACAAACAACTGCAGCTGCAGCTGGCATAAAATAAACATATTCATTTTTTGAGTTATAAATAATATAATTTTCCTGGGCTGTACTAAAAAAAACTGAGTAAGGGATGTCTGCCCAATTAACATATTAAACAGCCTACAATGGTTTGTGTATGATGTGGCTTTTGATGTTAGACACTATCATACTGGGACCAAATACAGCATGAAGATGGTCAGGCACATTTAGCAGTTCTGAACTGAGTATAAATATATCTGGTAGAGTTAATTTTAAATATAGGTAATAATATTTTATTGATAGAAAATATAAATAAGGTACAGTATGTCGACGTATATGTGTACAACATTGTGAATGATTATCAAAAAGTACTGCAGAGACCTGAGGCTGAAACATTTCACAGTCTTAGCCTGAAGACTTGTGTAAAAATTAAAGTTATGCAGAATTTGGGAAAATTCTTAAATTCACACTTAATTTGGATGTCAGTTTTGTTAAGTTCCCCAAAAGGACTGAGGGAAAACTGGCTTCCAAATTAAGACTGAATTCAACAATTTTCCAAGAATCTATATGACTTTGAAATCATGGTCTTAATGCTAAGATCATTATGACTTTCTGCCTTAGATCGCTGACTATTGTTCAATGAATGGGCAGCTTCATAGATGCATTACTTATCTTGTGTGCTACCATCCTTTTCCTGTTGTAGTTGGTTATACCACAGATGATCTTCGGTTCATCTGGCAGGCTAAAGACCCTGTTCAAATGGAGGAGATTGCGTTACCACAGTTTGATATCAAACAGGAGGATATCGAGTATGGGAATTGTACAAAATATTATAAAGGCACAGGTAAGAAGTTTTAAAATTAATGGTATTTCCTTTGTCACAACTTTTTATAGGCTAAGCCCTCAACTATTATACCCCTAACCTCTGGATCCCCCTCTCTAAAGATCTTTGCCTCACCCCACACATCTGTTTTTAAAAACCTCCTAAAAACATACCTCTTCGACTGTGCATACGGTCAGCTCCCTTCACCCCTCCCTCACTCTCTCTGCCCTGTTAGCACTGTCTCTGTAAAATACTTCAAAGTCTCTAAAATGTTCCAAGAAATAAAGGCTTTGAGATATCCTCCCAACATTAATATAAATATAGATTGTATTGTATTTTCCTATGTAAAAGCACTAAATACATCTATGCTTTTAAGAGCATGGATGTATTTAAGGGAAAGCTAGATAGGTACATGAGGGAGAAAGGAATAGAAGGTTATGCTTGAAGGCTTAGTTGAGGAAGGGCAGGAGGAGGCTCATGTGGAGCATAAACACCGGCATAGACCAGTTGGGCCAAAATAGTCTGCTTCTGTTCTGTATATTCTAATGTATTCTAATGTATTCTAAAAGGCTTACATGTTGTTTTGTTGGCAAAGATTTGGGTCGTAGACAACAGTGCAGGAATGGGCAAAATGAGTCTAGTTTTGAGGATCCATGTTCGTTCACCAGGTAAAACATGGATATTTCCCCAAATTAAACAATAACCTACTGCAATTAAAGAATATTTTAAAAGAATAACAATATCAAGCAAATTGCATGCATGTTCAGTTTTATAGTGTCTGCATTTTTTTAATCTCCCAGGAATATGCACAATATTTGTGGCAAAATTGAACTCTCAGAGATGGCTATTATAGATGAACAATACTACATAGCTATCAAGCACAATGTGTGTGAGGCAACAGTAGAGTATCTATATCATTAGTGAGCAATTGCAAGTTAAATCTGTAAGCACTAACCCACCATTCAAAATTCTTCCCACATGAGCAGAAGTCCAAAGATTATTCAATCACTTTTATTGGGGCCTCAAGCAAGCTCAAGTGTCTATTTTTAAAATAAGTTCATAAACCTCTTTTACACCTGTTTTAAAGGCTTAGCGGAATGGGTTGTTCCCATAACTAATTTGTTCCAGGAGATGCTGTATTTTGTGCATCCATTTATTCCAATCTAGCTGTTCACTAACATTAGCAAACAAAGTGGAATAATGTATGTCCTACCATTCCCTTCACTGATGTACCTTTTCCTTTGTTTTTCTCCACTCCTCTAATGAAGACGGTGACTGAAGCTGGTGTGCACTTCCATACATGTACACAGGCCTCACCCATTTGATCATTCTCCACTGTGTAAACCAGACAGTGAATATTGGTTAGACTGCTTAATCATGGAGGGAATTATAGCCAAATCTTATCCTATGCTCACCTATTGTACCCACATATGGACTTTCCAGCAGGGCACTTGATTGTGAATAGTTCTAGGAACAATAGCTGATTCCCCCCATCCCTTCCATTCTCAAAGAGTAGAGGCCAATTGTAGTGCCTCACCATCCTCCAAGTTGATACCTGATCAAAAATTCCTCCTGGGTTTGGTTCAGCTGGGGAGGAGTCAGGAAACATGTAGAATACACAGTCTCTGCATTTTACAACATATCACGTGAAGCTCCTTGAGATGTTCCCTTGATATGAAAAGGACTATGTAAAATGCAAGGATTAGCCCTCATTCAGACACATGGTTCACATCTAATGCAGTTACAAGACCAGATCTGTGCACAGCCTCTTCCAGATTAGGTATTTAATAGTTTGAGTTTAATTTAGACCTCTTATTCCATAAATAAGTTTTAGTGGGAGAATAAACTGGTGCATTTCGCGCACAGGTGAATGCCAAGCTTTTTTTCTTGTTGGTCAATATTTCTGACTTACTCGGTCTATTCATCTTTTAGAAAATGCATTGCACTCCCATTCGTTTGTGTAGGAAATTATATTTTCATTTTTTTTCTTGAAAAGGATATTACACCTGCGTGGAAGTGATATTTACCCTGAGAAGACTAGTTGGATTTTACTTGATGGGCGTTTATGCTCCAACGCTGCTGATAGTTGTTCTTTCGTGGCTGTCCTTTTGGATTAACCCTGATGCAAGTGCTGCAAGAGTACCTCTAGGTAATGGGAAATAGCATTGATGGTTGAAACGTCAAGCGCTGTTACAGAATGCAATCGCAGCGCGTTCTGAAATTGTGCGTCTCTGATGGGCATTGATTCTTATGGTTCAATAAATTATGTTTAGGACAGTCAAGAAACAATAGTGTAAAAGAGAGAGACTAATGCGTATCACAACTAGTTTGGCTCGTATGCTGGTGCCTGGCTTTTATTTAACCTGTTGCTCAACCACAGCCCTCAATAGCACAGTGATCTTATTGTCCCTGTTCTCTCCATTTAAGCAATTGAAGGTAGTCTGGTGCTATTGAGGATACTTACACACTAGGAACAGTTGTCTGAAGATTGGTAAAATTACAGATCAGACCAGCTTCTTCACTGCTGCTGGTAAATTATAATCTGCGTCACCGAGTTATGTGATTTGTTGGACCAGTGGGAATAAGACCTTCTCATCTACTAACTCAGAAAATAACCATCTTTTGGCAAGTCAGCTCTACGAAGCTCCAATATTGATGGGGTTTTGCAGAGCACCTATCTAATGTAAAGTTTGAACTAAACATTGGGGTTAAACAGAAGCCAAACACCATAAGCACCAGAAAAAGTACCTGCAACATGATCTATGTTTCTATACATCATTCCTTCTCTGAAAACTTGTCTCCAAACTTCTGAGCTGAGGTCTCTTGAGTGGGAATATACATTCCACAACAATTTGACTATGATGAGCCAATGAACGCAAGCTATCCTCATCTAAAATCCATGCATATCTATTTGTAGTTTGATCTAATAGTCATTAATTCCTTCCTCCACCTCACTATCTGTGTCAGTCTGGCTCAGTTAGAGTTCACACCATGACACATTTTCTGGTAGAATTTTCCAAATCTCATTCACTATTGCCTGGACAGGGTAGACAGTGCCCAGAATTGCAACAACCTGTTTATTTACCTGGCCTTGCCAGTCCTCAAAGAAGCATTCTTTTCCAATTCTGCTAAAATAAAATATAAAATTGTAAAGTGCAAATGATGTATGCTGGCTGGGATGGAGAAAGACCATATTCACTTCATTTTGAAGGATAGAAATTTGTAAACCGCAGTTTGTGTTGTGAACTTCCAGTTAGTGAGCAAAACATTGTCATTGGCATGTTAGGAGTCTCTTTCCCTCAGTGGAAATCAAGCTGAGTTAAATGTGTCTGAGCATGCTGTCAGCACAACAGCAGATTTGCTGATATTACAGGAACTTGCTGTTTTACTCAAAAATGGCAGCACTGGTAATGCCACATTTGAGGCTCTATGATTATTGCTTTGAAAGTGGTTACCACATCAAGAGAGGCATTGCCGAATTACATTTGGGATTTGTATCTTAATTGTTATAACCGTGCCTCTATTGTCAGAAAGTCCAAATATAATGGAATTTCCCAGAACACTATCAGAAGTTGCACACTCCATTCCCGACAACCAGATGTTTCCACGCACATGTGGAACACTCAGCCGCTTGGTATGGCTACTTGTAACCATGTTTATGGGTTTCCACATGTGTCAAGACTCTTGGTTGACCAAAATAAAATGAAAGATGTAGGGTTGAAAAAATGTTCTGTGTTGATCACGAATAAACTTCACTGTAGTAAGTTAACTGGAATGAAATGCTTAAGATATTTGTTTCTCATTTCAAATTTACCAAAGTAAAACCCGTCATCAAATTACTTGGGTGTTAATTTGCCCATTTGTTTCACCCAGGTATCTTCTCAGTGCTCAGCTTGTCATCCGAATGCACATCTCTTGCTGCAGAGCTGCCCAAAGTTTCCTATGTGAAAGCCTTAGATGTCTGGCTCATTGCTTGCCTCCTCTTTGGGTTTGCGTCCCTTGTAGAATATGCTGTTGTGCAGGTTATGCTCAACAGCCCAAAGAGAATCGAAGCTGAAAGAATCCGAATTCAAAACCGCCAGAAGGCTAAGGAGCAAGCTATTGCAGCAGAGGCCAAAGCATCTGGGAACTGGGTCAAACCTTCTTCCAAGAATACTGTTAATGGAACAGGGACACCGGTTCATATCAGCACTCTACAGGTAAGAAATCACTTTTAACATTTATAAAATAATGATCTGTCTCCACTTACCTCCCCGCCCTCCATCCCCGCCCCCGAAACCTTTTACTAATTTCAACCATGTTCAGATTTAGAACTGATTCTTGTTCTCCATTGTATTGACCTTAGTGCTGTAAATCTATAGATATTAAAACATGCCTGAGTGAGTTTAAAATGAGAGAATGTCACAATAAACTCACATCACTGAGGTCATTACATTTACCAACTATAAGATTTTAAACCATAACACCTGCAAATTTTGCAAATTTACCATCGAGGAACGAATTGTTAGCCATAAAATATAAGTTTTACCAAAGTATTTGTCTACTTTTTAGCAAGGGAAGATTCTGTTCTCCAACATGTATTTCAATGACAGCATGTTAATGTTAAATCCACTGAAGACAAAACTTTACACAATATGCAACAGTTGAATGATCATTGCTCTCAGATTTCCTTATAAACCTTTTTTTATGAGACGCACAAGACTCAATGCATAGAAACCTTAGGAGACAATCTGACCCATTGTGTCAGTAATGGTGAGACTTTCCAATATATATTCCAAGTCAAAAATGTTATTCCACTGGTTTTGTTTGGTGAAGTTTGATGTCGGACCAGTTTTGGGTGCACACTTGTGTTGGAATCAACACGTACAACTGTATGTGGCACGAAACTCTTGCTCTTCATCACTGTTGCATAATACCCATTAATTTTAGAGGACTGAATTTTTATTTTCTACTCAGTGCTGAGAGTGAGTGCCTCTCCATCAACAATATATCGTTGAGGCAAACATGTTTCTCTGCTCTGCCAAGTCTTGCCAACACAACAGAGGTGACTTTTGTGAAGCTGTACAACAGATTTGAAGCCCGAAATTCCACATTGTTTTAGTCTGCGAGATCATTTGTTTTAATATTTAAAATTGTGCGGAATTGTAAAAAATTCTTTAAGGCTGTCTTAATTTGGAAGCTGGTTCTTTTTAAGAACTGTGGCAAAATGGTTTCCAAATGAGATTGTCTGTTCGACAATTCTGTGTGAATTTAACATTTTAAGATCAAATAGCCTTACAGGCTATTGCTGGGCAGAAGTTTGGGCTTCCAGTTTGTTAATTAACACATGAAGGAAGAAATTCCACCTGGGTCTAGATTCTTCATATTTGTATAACATTTTAGAGCATCCAGAATTTCATAAATTGTTGAACTCAGTCTTAACTTTGAAGTTGTCTTTCTGTAATTCTTAAAGGACATTTGCCGAAAACCGACTTCAAAATTAAAATTTTCAAATTCAAAATTAATTTTAATAATTAAAAAAAGTTTTTAATTACCAAATTTGGATACTCTGAAACACTACATAAAGTAAATCTAGACCCAGGTGATATTTTTTGCTCCAAATCTATTAAATAACATTGTGATTTTCACCCCTACATTTCCCTTTAGAAACGAATGGACTGTTTACTTAACAACAGACGTAACTATATTGTCCATTGTGCCACCAGCTCTGAAATGAGGTTTTCATATTCATTGAAGTCAATACATCTTGGAACTATTAGTAAATCTAATGCAGACCAGCCTCAGATATACTACATCCATTGTAACCAAACCACTGAACATTTATCATAAACAAATGTTGTTTTTACTTGAATTTTATCTAACATTGACGAAGAATAGTGGCTCAAAGTGCAATCATTTCTACAAAGTTAACAAAGTGTCTTGTCATAATTTTACAATCTCATTTGACTAAAATTAGGATATTCTGTTTTTATCTCTTAAGATAAAATGCCTGAGGTCAAATTTGAATAACATCACTGCCTGGGGTCAAATTTATGGTCCATGTTTGATATTTATCTCACTGAATGATTTGCAGACAGTTTCCTTCCCCCTCCCAACAACTCTGTTCTCTGCGAAGCTAGGATTTTTCATGCAGGTCATAGTCTTCAACTGCTCATTTGCTGAACGCTGACATTTAGTGATGAAAGCTCAAAATTATGGCTTCTCACTAACTACATCCAGGAGCTAGGAGTGCCGTCAAGGATGTGGCTTCTCAGTGTTCACCATTGAGATTTGTGGTAGAGATCTCTCCAGCCCACTCAATGTAATTTTTGCTTTGCTTCTTCTTAGCTCACTCGCCTCACTTTTTACTGGGGTACAGTTCCATGCATGCTATCTACCTTCCAACACCTTGCCAGTTGCCAGCCTTGATGACCACGCATAGCCGCGTGCTATTTGACTGTAGAGAACCTCACCTCAGAGGCTGATCCTGTCAATATATGTCAACATAATAAAAGAGTTTACTTCAGCACCCATGTTCAAGTCAGCGACAGAGGAAAGCAAGACGAGAGTGCAATACAGTGCAGGGAGTTTGATGTAAAACTCTCCCCTGCGTTTGTGTAAGGCCCCTTTCTTTGACATAACAATTTTGTTGCTTGCGTTAATGGGTGTCAGCGACTGGCTCACTTTCAGGGAAGATATTATCGTAACAGTTAAATGGTTCAATAGAATACCTTTGGGATTATGGGGGGGTTTTGCCATTTGTTTTCCTTCCTTGCCATTCTATCCTATGTGTTATAAAGTATCACAGTAATCTCCATTAACATCGTGGTGAGAAATCGCATAACAATACGGTATGGTAAGTATGAGCTCATTGTTTGCTCAAGGCCCTTACCTCCACTGTTGGATTCATGCCCATTCGCACTGAAATGAGACTGTTTTACTTCTTTCATTTGCTTTCTCAAGCAGAAGTTACACACGCTGCTCTGCTATATTCAGTCTTTTTTTATGTTACCTGTAGGTTGCATACTTGGCACGTTTTTTTATTCTGTCTCTGTTTGGCAGTGCAGTCTGACTTGTGATCCTGTTAAAAGTGGTTTGAATCTGATACAAAGTGGCAACCGCCGTATTGGAAAGAGAGCCTGTAGCACCCTGCAGTTCTTTTGGAAAGAGGTTTTATATAGCCATCTGTTATCATTAACATTCAAGCATCTGTAACCAATAGAAGCTTTTTGCTTTGATGTTTTGATGATATCATAAAGTGACTGTACAGTAAGACCTTTTAAAGTCAGTCTTCAGCAGACGGCAATTAAAGTGCATTTTGATGAAGATAGCTTCTGGTAACTACATTGAACAAACGGGTTCTTATCTGATCTGGATCCTCAGTACTCGGTAACATCTTCAGCTAAGTGTGCAATGGGATTGTTTCAAAGTAAATCCTTCCATGTGAGTCTTATACAATTCCACCTTTAATTGTATTGAGATGTAACAGTTGCTGGACTCTGGATCATTGGGCTTCAGGAGGACTGTTTTATTTCCAGTGTTGCGTCTCTCCATTGGTATTTGTTTATTTCCTCTGGCGTGAGTTGCCCACTGCGGTTGCACATTCTCTCCATAGTTCCTCACCAGACCATAATGCACTTCATTGGTTTTCATGGCGATTACTCAGGCTTCCTCGAGTGTATGGCAAGCTATTGTCTGACCTCTGACCCAACTTTGCAAACAAGCATTATGTATTTGGGAAGGGTGGTTGAGGCCAGGACACTGGTCTTATTTGAAAATGGCTTGATGCAGTGATGGGAAGATAGGATCCAGAATATTGTGGAAGGGTGAGATTAATGCAATAACAAAAGGCTTCTATTTCCCGGATATATTTTTCTTCCAAAGTGTTTTTTTTCAATGATGGAATGAGCCACATCTTAGATTTTTATACCACCTTTCATGTTAAAGAATGTCTCAAATGCTTTGCAGGATGATATAATTAAGAAGAAAGTGTTATTATTAAGGCAACCACGACAGCTAATTTTTCACCAGTAGTGAATCTATAAAATATTATTGTGTACTTGTATATATTTGTGGGTGAATGCAGCAGCAAATTTGTACACAATTCTCCCACTTAACAGCCATGAAGTAAATGGCTAATTTTATCTGGAGGATTTTTGACCAGGACACCTGGAGAAACAATTTTTTTTGCTTAGTTCCAATGAATCTTTAATATCCATCTGAATGACGGAACCTCCAACATTTCAGGTCTCCCCAGTCTAGAGTGTCAGGCTAGACTAAAAGCTCAAAATCCTGAAGTGGGGCTTGAACCCATATCCTTCTGACTCAGAGGTGGGAGTGCTGCCAACTGAGCTTGTCTGACATATTTATAATTAGAATAACATAATTAGTTATTAGCAGTTTATTGAATATTCAATAATATCAACCACATTGTGAATCAGACCATGCATATTACTCACTCTTTAAGGTCATAAACACATTCCGAGAACTATGTTCTCTATTCTGTATTTGGCTAATTTGCAGTGCCAAAGCAATCATACTTCATTATTTCAAATAATATAGACAAACAATTATTGAACAGAAATTCTACCTGAGTCTGTGTTTATTTCATTTATGCAGCATTTCTGAACTTCAGAATTTGGTAAATTATTAAACTGCAGTCATTGCTTTAAAACCAGTTTTCTATAATTTTATTTTTGAGAACTACAGGAAACCAACTTCAAGGTTAAGACTGAACTCAACAATTTGTCTGATTTTGGATGCTCTGAAATAACAACAAATTACATTTGTATAGCGCCTTTCATGGTGGGAAGACGACCCAAGGTGCTGGACAGTCAGGAATTTGGACCCGAGCAGGGGCTTGGGATCAGGAGAGATGGAGCAGGGAGGTAGTGGTAGGAGGGTGGACGAAGGCCCAGTCGAAGAGGAGGGTCTTGAGACGTGCTTTGGAGGAGGCGAGGGAGGGAGCAAAGCAAAGGGACTGTGGGATGGAGCTCCAAAGGCTGGAGGCAGAGAAGCTGAAGGACCAACCGCCAATGGTGGGGAGGGCCGGGCAGGGAATGTGGATCAGGCCGCAGCCTGCTGAGCGGAGCACAAGTTGATGTGGGGTTAGCAAAATACAGAGGAAGGAAAGAGCACAAAATGCTGCATAAATAGAGAATCTCTGGAGCAGGTGGAATTTTTCCTGGAAAGTTTCAGACTCTAAAGCAAAGATCTTAGA